TAATGGATGGAGTGACAGAGTAGCACTCAGGAGGCCTGAGTTCGAATTCCAGCTCAGCCATGGAAACTCACTGGGAGTAGTAACAGTAGTACTGTACTACCCCCCCCCAGTAATAAAACCATTTACTACTGTTACTACTTATGGAGGGAGCTGAGGTGTCAAGGCACAAGGGTAACAGAGGAACACTTTGGAGGAGATGTTCTGGATGATGCTCCTTCCAACAACATCGACTCTACCAGCTGGGTGTGCTTGATGGGAAGTCATTCCAGTTGTTTGGGATGCACTCCCAAACATCTGGAAGAAATCAAGTTGGCTGAAGAATGACCCAATGATGAAAAGGAGGAAAGGAGAGAGCTCGAGATCTATGGAGCCCTTGGGCATATCTTGACTCCTTTCAATCTATTAGAACAATAGATTTTCAACATCAACAGCGAGGATTTATATGATATCTTCCACCTTTTCGATTCCATGCGGCAAACAAGGATAGCCATCACTGTGGGTGTCACACTTTTTGTCTCTTCCCTCCATCCACCTCCTGCTTTGGTTGAAAGCATCATTCCTTTCGTTCAAGCTTTCACTAAGGCAGCGGCCAAGCGTTTTTCTCTTGGTTTCAACAAACAGACTTCGGCAGACTCACTGCTTCCAACAGATAAAAGAGAGGGAAAGAGACACAGAGCAGAGAGGCGGGTCTCTCTTTGAAGTCAGAGGCAGGGTTGAACTATTGGTTGGTACCTGATAGATAGGGTCACCCCAGCTCAGAAGGGACCCTCCCAGCCAAACAAACTACAGGCTACATGCGAGTTTTTAAAACTCCAACAGGAAAATCATATTATTATCTTCTCTAAGGCTTGCTCTGAGATTTGTCTCCACTCCTGGAGATCAAGAAAAGCAGAGCGAGTCCTTGAGGTCATAGCCTGGCAGCCTTGATTACCCACCAAGTCAAATGGAAGTGGAAGAAGATGGGAGAGGAACATTTTTTGAGCTTGCAAAGTCACCTCTGGATGGTGGATCTAGGACCAACCTAGGGTTCTCCTCCAGCCAATCAGATGCTTTCTCTCCCCACCCTGGGCAAGAAGTCACAATGGCTGATATCACAATACCTGTATTTCCAAGTGGCCTGGAAGGGCTTCCCCAGCACCAGGGGATCACTGGGGGAAGCCCCAGAGAAATGGCATGGGGCAGCGGCAGGAGCTTCGTAGATACCTGGCTTGAGCACAGAGCAGAGAGTGACCCATGTCAGGGCAACCAGACAGCTCTGTGGGACACGCTGATGCTTCTGGACTTTCGGTAACATTTCACAGATTCCGTCCAGAGGGTCTCCACTTCCCACACTATCACTTTACATGGGTGGTGGTCAGATGATAATTATGGCAACAGGAGTTTTTACTCCTTGATCTTCTGTGGGAGGTTGCAGATGGCACAAAATGCAACAGCCAGGCCCCTTAATTGGACCCTCTGTCATGAAAGAGCTATTCTCATTACCAGTTAGATTATACACCATCTTCAAGGTGCTACATCTTGGCTTTAAAAGTATTGGATTTTTTTTT